AATATAATCAGTAGTCTTTTTTAAATCATTTTTATTTTTATTTTTAATTTGGAACTCACTAACATAATATTTTTTTATTTTTAATTAAAACAAATTTAATCAATAATCTTTTTAAAATGTAAGTACTTTTTTGGTATATTTGTTTTATGTAAGTACTTTTTTATTTAAAAAATGTTTAGGGACTTAATCGTTTAAAATATAGAATTCCATTGGCTTTTTTAGACTTTTTTCATTATTTTATCACATTAATCAGTTTTATAGGTCATAAGTACTTGATCATTCCAAACACTAAGGGCTTTTGTTTGATTTTTGAAAAAAAAACCTCTTAATACCTCTTAAGTTTGGATCGGTCAGACTTTTTTATTTTCAGACCGTTTGATTTTAAAAAAAAAATAAGAGCTGAAAAGCTCTTATAATCCACTGAATTTTTAAGTGGTGGTCTAAACTCTTAATGGGCTCCTATTCACACATGAGGACACCATATCGTTCTCTCGTTTGATCTCCAGCTACCAAATCATACTGACCTATCCACATCATACGATCTATACACCGTATCGATCTCTCACTCGGTCTCAAGCTACCGATCTATCCAAATCAATCTCTCCAAAACGATCTCTACGAATCGATCTCTCTTATATATGAGTTATTTTATAAGTATGATCAACCAATGAGCAACGGGATGATGGCGACACAGTTAATGCAAAATGAATATTGGTTCTAGTCGTTATGAGACTTTGTTCGTGTTTTTATTGATTTTGATTTCAGACTTTAGACGTAAAAAGTAAAAACAAACAGTCTGACTGATTCAGATTTCAACTTCAGCACCACCTCTTATAAATCAGAAATGAAATCAGACTTAAGACTTTAGCGCCACCTCTCATTGGGTTTTTTTTAAAACTTTTCCAAACAATAATTATTTTCTTTCAATAAAAGAAATTCAAACCATAAAAAATATCTAAATGAAATATCAATTTGTTACATCAATATTTTCGACGATATAAATACAAATGAATACCAATTAGATATTTGTAATTAAATGGGCTGATAAATATTAAGACGTAGGTTGTTGGAGAAGCAAAAACTGTGTTATGATTTCATACCCCATTGTTTGAGCAACCTGTAAAGGTGTTGCTCCTCTGTTACATTTAGCATTGACGTTTGCTCCCCTGTTTATCAGCACCTCCACTGTATCCTTGCTACCGCCTACCGCTGCCATATGCAATGGCGTCCGACCCTCCGCCTCCGTACATTCTATATCGGAACCAAACTCAACTAGCAACATCACCACATCTTTATGGCCTTTAATGGCCGCCATGTGAATCGCTGTCAAACCATATTGGTCTCGAAAATCCACACTCGCATCTCTTTCTAGCAAAAATTCTAGATGCATCAGATCTCCACGCCTTGCTGCGTTTAACACCTCTTCCCCTCGTTCTAGAATTTCCACGATCTCTTTCTGCAACATCATCACAAAATGACAAGTTATAGAAACTCACTAATCACTGTATTATCAAAATATTTGGTAACATAACAGAACAGCGGTAGCGGATCCAGGAAATTAATGAGGTGGGGGTATGTTAGATGAGACTTGAGGAAGGGGAGCATATGACCATATGGAACTGAGGGGAAACCATTTTAAAACGAGAGTAAAAATAGAAAATTTAAGCTAGTCAACAAAGGTTTTTCGTTTTTGATTGAGACCTTCACCCGATAGGATAATTGAACTGATAAAGGGCTTATCAAAGTAAGAGGTTGTTTATTTGCGGCTTAATTAAGCTTATTGATCTATTTGGCTTATTCATACAACTCATTTGGGTTGTTTACTTATGGCTTTTTATTCGCACAGAACATGGCTTAATCGCACAAATAGAAATGGTGTGTCCTCATTCAACCATAAAAATGACACTCCTACCCCTTATTTAAAACATCGTCTCCTTCCCAAATGAGACACCCATCATCAACCACTTTATGATTTTTTGTTTTGATGTTCAAATAATTAATATTGGGGGTAAATCGGTCATTTATGTTATTCTGCCTGTTGGTTCAGATAAAAAAAGTAAACAACACCAATTTATCTAGATAGACAAATTTATCCAAAAATATAAAATTTTAAATAAACCCTTGCTCATTAACTCCATTAATTAAAAATATGAAAATAAATTTATGAGAAATAAAGTTTTACAAATTGATTCTTCAAAATATGATTAAATTTCATTAATTTTGTTTAAAATTAAATTAAAAATAAAAACTAATTTATTTTTGTCGTTTACTTACATGTCCTTCATCACGGGCAATGTCAATGGCGGAGGGATTCCGGTTATCTGCTGTGATAGATGGATCAGCCCCCAGCTCAATCAACACTTTCACCATCCGACGGTCACCTTTCGCCGCCGCCCTATACAACGCCGTCCAACCGTCGTTACGCTTTGCGTCCACGTTAGCACCTGCACCCGCCAGCATCTTAACAGATCTCTCGAATCCTTTACTTGCCGCCAAATAAAACGGTGTTCTTCCTTCTCTATCCTTACAATCCAACGTCTCACGTTTTCCCATTTTAATCAATCTCGAAACCTCATCCGTCCGATCAAACGCCACAGCCGCGTGTAACTCCGACCACCCTTTCTCCGCCCATCTGGATTCCTCCACCTCCTCTAAACTCCGAGGTGTCGACTCCACTTTCAATCCGGCCTCCAGTAGTAAACCAACCATCTCAACCGAGTTATCCAACCGTGTCGCAACTCGGTGAACCGACTCAGCCTCCCGAATTGACAACTCGGTTAAAATTGTCCTCTGAAACTTAACCATACTCCTCACGGCATCGCAATCGCCATTATTCACGGCATGGCGGAGCAAGAAAGGACCAACGAAGGCGACTTTCAGTTTAACATCATACGTCCATGAAGTGATTGTGTTGATGTCCACCGCAGATCCGGCACGAGACGTGCGGATGAGAAAGCGATCGGAAGGGGATCGAGGGAAATCAGAGGGAATTTGGGGTTGTGGTCTGAGGATTATTTGGAAAGTGGATTGGGAAAGAGGAGGGATGAGTCCACTGGGTGGATTGACCAGGAATTTGTGAGGAGATGATGTTTGGACCTTGAAGGCAATCGGAGTGGTGGCGCTGAGTGATCTCAGGCGGACGGTGGCTCTGCATTTTGTGCCGAGAACAAAGTCTATACACACAACTTGATCCGATACTTCCACCAGCTTCTCCATCATCACACAATCTGCAAGATGGAAAAAGGATAACGCATCTGGAAATTCGAGTCCACAACTCCACATTCACGTAATTTTGGGGACCATCGTTGATTTCTTCTCTGATTCATGGCCCCATGACGCTACGTCCATAACAAATTGTCGATTGATAATTGAATTTGTTCATCGGTAAACTACGAAATTGTGAGAATGAGAGTACCATTTTTCTTAGTAATTGATGTTTTTGGATTGTTCGAAGAGATTTTGTTTTATTACTTAACTGGAAAGCTTTATTCGGTTCATCCATGGCCGGATATTTTGTGAAACGAAGGAACAGAAGGGACAAAGTCCACGACCCATGCTGCAAGGCATATGAAAGTAGATATGTATTATAATATTATATTATTATATAATTTTAAAAAAAATAATGTTATTATTTTTAAATAAAATATAAATTTAAAAATATTATAAAAATTTGATAAAAATATATATCGATATTAATATTAAATTA